TTGTTGTATTTTTTGCTGGCGTTCTGTTTCAAAACACAATAGTAGAGCTCCTATAAATTGCTTTTTCATCTTAAATATTTTTTTAACAATTTAAAAATATCACAATATATGATCCAACTTATATAATACGTAATTTCTCACATGTTTTGGCAGAAAACATTCACTTTGTACTTCGATTTTCTCTGATGAACTTAAACTACTTCGTATCATTGCCTAAAATCTAATCATACTTTTAATTAAAAAAAGTAAAATATCAAACCGTCAGATTGAAAGTAGCAACTTCTCAATGAATTTGTGAGTTCCATTTCTCTTGATTTATTTAATCATATTTACAAGTCACTGTAGAACGCCTTGAATAATTAAGGTACATTTTTATGCTATCTGATCAGATTTAGTATTGTTTAATCGTCATGAAATCTATTACGAACAGCTATTAAGTAGACAAGCTTTCATTATCAATAATACATTTGTTTGATCTGAATATATCAATTTCACGCATATATATGTTACGGTCAAAACTGGAATCTGGTCAAATTCTAAATTTGATCGAGCAAAATTGGAAGTCGAATTTTGACTGGACAAATTTAGAATTCAAATTTTGACCAACTTGTTTTTTGGCAAAATTGGAATTCTAGTTTTATCCGGACGAAATTAGAATTGGACTAAAAATAAAGTGATACACATTTTTGTATTGTTCAAAAACATAGAAAGGAAAAATATTAACAAAGATAGATAACTGTTCTTTTTCAAAGAACACAACAAAAGAAATGAGTAGAATATTCTAGAGTGATCTAATTGTTTTATTCGACTTTTTATATATAGGAGTAGTGCGTATTGTATTATCGTCAAAAAAGACAAATTCAAATACGACAGATATGCATGGGATTGACAAAAAGATTTAATTTAAATGATTGTATTGGAATCCCCATTCATACAGTGATAGAACAAATACTGACCCTAAATATTCACCATGCTTAATTGTTGAAAAAATTGAAAAAAAATAACAACGTTTTATATAAATTAGTTTGTCAATATGGCAAATTAGAAAATACTTTTTCTGTTGAAGATCTAGTCGATTTAAAATCAGCTTGTCCAGAAGAATTAAAACAACTATTCATAGATGAGTTAAAAGATATTATAATAATTGAAGCATGTAAACCTTATATTCGTAGATCGACAAGTGAACGTACATGTGAGTGTAAAGGAAAATGTGTCACTAACCAATGTCCATATAAAAAAAGTAGGACTTTTTTGCTCAACTAAATGTCATTCTAAATTAGGAGTTTGTACGAATATGGGTAGATAGATTAGAAAATAGGAACTGTGACTTGGTTGATAAAAACAAAATTATGGAATAAAATAGCAGTTTGAAATAAAAAATAGTTTTTGAAATAAAAATCTCTTTGTTTGTTCAAACTCTAAATGTTCCAGGTTGCCCAATTTACTTTTAGTCCAATTCTAATTTCGTCTGGACATAATTGGAATTCCAACATTGTTCAAAAACAATCTGGTCAAAATTCGAATTCTAAATTTGCTCGGTCAAAATTAGAATTCAGACTTTGTCTGATCAAATTTAGAATTTGACCAGATTCCAACTTTAACCGTAACATATAAATACAGAATTTCAATTATTAATAATAGAATAATATTTATTGTTTCTTTTTATCCTTTGCTGTATCTGAAATAATTTCTAGTAAAAATTACTGTTGTAATACTATTAGAATTTGATCAATTGAAACTACTAATATTGTACAATTCAAATGCATTAGTATTTGAGTTTCTGCTCAATGCGATCATATATGAACATTTTACTCTAAATAAAATTATGATCAACTACATATTTATGACAATGACATTAAATATGGTAAATAATCCAACATGATATAATGATCAAAAACTATTTATCTTGCACAAACCATGTTTCTCCTTTTTTATTTTGAAGGAAGGATTATGGTAGAATATTCAAGGTGGTAAAAATGAAATAGAAAACTTATTATTATTGGGTACAATGATGATGCTCATTTGATCGATTGAAATATTCATCATCCTGTTATCAATAATAATCTGATGGTCCTCATTGTTGTAGATAATAATTCAGTGCATCTTGTTACTTTATGTTCAAAAAAAAAATAAATAAAATATGATACAATTCATTCTGTAGATTTGAAAAAGGAATATTCTCATAAAAAAGTCGCTTTCTTGTAAAAACAAAATTAATTTTATTTTTTGCACTTGAAAAAATAAACAATAAAAATATTACATTTTTTGTTTGGAAACTTGATAAAGAAAACATATCTAAACTATAGTCATTTTTTCGTATGTAATAAAAGTCAACTAAATGTTACATTATTATTTTACAAGAGACACAAAACGGATACGATTACAAGCTATAAAACTGTTTTTCCTGGAAAAACAGCCAATTTTATTTGATAAATCAAAAGAATGTCGATATAAATATGGCATATGATTTCACATTTTGAAATATTAGAAGGAAAATCATATAATTCATCGAACAGTTTCATCAAAACCAATATGTTTAAATTATCGCTTTTTTTAATGAAAAGATCAAATCATTAAACTTTGGATTCGAAAAACATAAAGCCCATATCACGTAACAGGTTTTCTATCGATGGAAATATTGAACTCAAAAAACTATTTCTTTAAAAAAACAGATTATTTTACTCGCTATCTCCTATGTAAAATTTCCTTAACGATTTAACAAAAAAAGATGTCACCTTTCTGATCATGAAGACACATTAAAATATCTACTTTAATGAAATAACACGAATTACATATATTTTGCTTTAATTTCATTTTAATGAGGAAATATTCTGGAATTTCATTAACGTCAATATTTTAACGCATTTTTTTTTATCAAGAATGTAAAATATTTTTTCATTAAATTATTAAATTTAAAAAAAAATCTTGCATGGGAATTAAAAAAAGAAGAAAAAACGACGTTACCTGATTGTTTTTTAATTTCAGATTGAAAAACAGACGAACTCAACATTATATGACTAAATCGATAGATTTCACGGGATGAATAGGTGTAAATTACAGATTTTCTTACATAGAAAGAATAAAGCAATTCGTTTAGCACTTAGAAAAAAGAATAAACAGAATATCATGCAAATATTTAAATTAAATATTTTCAGGACTTCTATCATTCTTTGGTCTGATATTTTTAATGATGAAAAATTTACATATTGTATTGGCATGCATATATGTTTCTTCTCATTAAATGCTAAAGTGTTTTGTTATTGTTGTAGATATTCATGTAAGCAGAACGTTGTGTAATCAATGTAGCATGTTTTCGTTCACCACTGTTTCTAATAAAACCAACCTGCTCTACCGTTATATGCATTAGATTAATATAGAATCGGAATAGAAAAACTTCACACGTTTTAAATCTGTTTGTTGACTAGCATATACCTGTCGTAGTAATCATATATTGACTTCTACAAACATAAATGAATATGAGTCTACATTAACTTAGAATTGAAACAGAAAAATTTAGTTTGTAATGTCATGTATATGGCACATCCTCACGTTCTAGCGTATTATATCAACATGATCGTTAAATAGAGTAGGTTAGTTGAAAGAAAAATTAGCAGTTATGTACGTACAGTTAGTTTTGTATTTTTTTTGCACTAGCATGGATCAATCTTTGATGTACCGTGATCTTGCAGCAATTATATTTGATTTGAAAACGATAAAGTTTTAAATGCATTTGATGCGAATACAAAATTATCAACTGTTATAATATCAAATGAATAAGAGCAAGTTGTTAATGATGATAAAAATAATTAACAAGTTGGTCAAAATGTTCCACCATCACTATTAGATAATAATAATAATGTACCACAATTAAATCATCTTGAATTAAATTCAAGAAGCAAAGAAAAACATTCGTTTATATATATATATATTTTTTTTTTTGATTGTTCTGTGTAATTATAAATATCTGTTAATCTTTCTCCTACATGTTGATGGAGTTTGATCTAAGAATTTGGACATTTTAATAAAGAAAAGCTTAGAGTTTACAGATCTCACTGGTTTGTATTTTTTCTGATGTTTTGCAAATCTGACTCTTGATGCACTATGATCGATAACCAGATAGATTAATCTAAGTTGATTCTTGAAATTTGATGCACTGAGTGTTCCATACATCCATATTATTGTGTCAGAAAAGTGTTAGTGTAACCATATGTATAAATGTTTAAAATAAATTTATAGATTTTTAAGTGAAAAATATTGAAAGTCATTATATCTCACTGTTGATTTCATCGTTTTCTATTCGATTTATATTTGGAATAGCTTTCTTAGCTATAGTTTAGATAAAATAAGACATTGAGAGAGATAAATGATGTTTTTTAGCTTTGAGAAAATGAATTTTTTTCTGTAAGATAGAAATGTAGATAAAATGGTTCTCGACAGTGAATAAAGAGAGACGAAAAGTTTCAGTCTAAAAATATAAAAATAAACAAACAAGATAATAACGTTCGTGCAAGATTGAAGAATCAAATTTTAAGATTTTTTTTTCCAAAAAAATAAGAATAATCTTAGTCTAAATTTATCAGATTAAATCAGACCCAAATATCATACAGATGCTAAAAGAAAATTATTTTTTTCGTTGCATTGTCTTGTAAAAGAGCAAATTTTAGCTTTATCAACAATATTTAATTGGATTTTCTAAAGAAGTTGATTTTCTTTATTGATATGTGCTATATTGTAGATAATAATTCGAAAAATTTTCATTAAACTAAAGATGAGCACACGGTGCATATTCTGCTCGGTATTGTGTTCGGGTAACTCTTGCTTACAATGCAATCAAATGAATCGTTGTCAAAAATTTGCAAGATTGCTTCAGTTTTTGGGACAATATTCTGAAAGTATTGTTTATTATGATGAAATTGCTTCTGTCGTGCAACGAATTCGACAGGTAAGTCTACTACGGTTCTAATTAAATTATAAAGAAAATGTTATAGATTGAATCAATTATGGCACCAATTCAGTTTCATCCGAATCAAGTTTTCGATGAAACCAAACATATTGTGGATCCAATTGCTAAAAAATATCTTGAGAAAGCGACTAATGATGTACATCATCTTATTCCGGTCAAAGTTGCTGATGACGGAAACTGTTTATACCATTCAATTCTTCTATTAATGAATAATCCAACGGTGATGACGGATGAATTGCGCGGTAAATAGATTTATTTTTCGTTTATATCATTGTACAATCTATTTTAATATAATTTTTAGTTCGAACAATTATCGAACTTATGACAAATGAAGCTTATTATGATAGCATGTATTCACAATTCATTGGATCTGTTGCATTTATTATCAAGGCTATGTGCAAAAATAATACATTTTCAGAATTGTATGAAATTAGTGCATTATGCAATGTACTTAAATGTAATATAAGAAGTATCTATCCAAAAATCGATTTTCGAGAAGATATGAACATTTTGAATAACGTATTTACGCCTGCTCCACCTGTCATTGCCAACTGTAACATCGAAATTTTGTGGTCTCATGTCTTGAACGAAACAGCTGCACCAGCTGCAAATAATGGCGCATGGAGTCCCAATCATTTTGTTCCTCTTCTATCATCAGCAATGCATTACACATCTGAATATGAAAATAAATCACCAACGTTTCCTGTAAGTTGTTTATTCATAACTGCTTCTCTGGAAATTTTTGAAATTTATTTAGACTCCTGAAAAGAAAACGTTTAAGAATAATACTCCTACTCGAATACGAAGTCCTGAATTTGAATGTTCTCCTAGCAGCCGTCGACGTATCGATAACATGGGAATGTACTCCACTCAATCAATCAGTTCAAGTGTACTACAACAAAGTCAAAGTGACATAGAAGAGCAACGTCGAGTGCGGCTTGATGCACAAAAAGAACGAGCGCGATCTAGCCGAATGAACGAAACAGAAGAACACCGTCAACTTCGCCTTGAAAAGCAAAAAACACGAAATCAATCGAATGAAACAATAGAACAACGTCAAATTCGACTTGAAAAACAAAAAACACGAACTCAATCGAATCGTTCAAATGAAACAGAACAACAACGTCAAATTCGACTTGAGAAGCAAAGGAAACGAAGCGAAGCAAGCAGAGTGAAGAAGAAATTTGAAAAACACACATTTGATAACATTGATATTCATCGACAAAATATCGAAATACAATTTAGCGAAGCGGAAGAAGAAGCATCATTGGATAATAGCAGCACAAATGAAAACATCATAAAGAAAAAGAACGACTCAAATTATTCCTGTTGGCCTGAACCGATTCCTCGTGAATTAAAAGAGGCCCGATTGCAAAAGTTTCTTCAACAGATGTCTATGTCAGTACTAGCTGATGCTACTTGTGCAATTTGCAACGTTCATACTCCAATACAACAGTCAAAAAAAGTGCCACTCTCAAAAATTCCTAATATTCATTTACTTAAAGTTTCTGATGAACTCAAAAATTTAATTACTAATGGTCCATCATCGTTATCACAACATTTAGACGGTAACAGCACAGCAATTATTCAAAATATTCAAAGTAACATATGATTACTGTGATTTGAGACATTATATAGAATCTTTGTCTATTCTAGTTCCTTCAACTTTCGATTCTTCATCATTTCATTATGATAATAGTGTTATCTTATATACCAATGGATTATTTCAACAAAACAAGGTGAACATGTGCATACTTTGCCAAAAATGTCACATTTCTCTGTCGAATGGACAAATTCCTAAATTCTCAGCTGCCAACAATATGTGGTTAGGTGACGTACCATCTGAATTACAAGGATTGACAATTCCAGAAGAAAAATTGATATCACTCTATCGTCACAACAGCTGTATAATAAAACTTCATTCGCCTTTCCATTCAACTACAACTGCCCAGACAGCATTGAAAGGCAACTGTATTACTTTTCTTCAAAATGTACCAAATATTGTTAATAGTTTACCACTTACACTTAACGAGCTGTGTGATACACTTAAAGTAATTTTCGTCGGAGCTCATCCTCCTGAACGCATTCAACTTAAAAAAGTGCTTACAGTACGCAAGAAGAAAATTATCGAAGCATTATATTGGCTGAAGAAACACAACGTACTTTATCAAAATGTTGATATAAATCTGAAGAATATTGCTCAATTACCTGAAGACGATGTACCAGAATGTATTATGTCAACGATGGAACAGAAGATAGGCGATGAAGAAATTCAATCTGAAAGAATTGGATATATTCCTGATCCATTATCTGACCCAATAGAACGTACTAGTACAGATAGTATTCCTATTACTAACGGGTGAGAGTAGCTAATAAATTAGTTTTTCACAAATCTTTTCTTTTTTAGTGGTGTTCTCGATGTCAACGGCTCATCAGTGTCTTCAGATGAAATTACTAATTATCTTTTGCACAAAATTAAAAATGACGGAACAGAGGCACACCGAAAATGTTTATTTGATTCCTCATTCTTCGAAGCCTGTTAACGAATATTTTAATCCAAAACTACTCGTAGGTCTGTATCCAACCTTATTCTGTTATGGACGTGGAGCACCTGAAGATCAATCGCGTCCAGTTAAAGTAAATTTACGAGAACACATACGTTATCTGTTATCGTACAATGATCGACATTTTGAAACGAACCACAGTTTTATATTTGTCGTCTTCAATCTATTACAACGACGTGATGCTTGTTTTCATGCTCAGCTGATCGCAACAAAACCTTACTTTCGAGCATCTGCTGATGAAATTCAATCCTTGAAAAGTAAAGATATTGAAATGGCGCTCGATAACATTTCCAAAAAAAACATACAGTTCGGAATCCAACAGTGCATTAAATAAATTATTGCATCATATTAAAACCATCGGTGGTCGAGTTATGGGTTCAGCATATTCACGTACGGCATTACGTACACGTATTCATGCATTAATCTATAATCAAGGGTTACCAAGCATTTTTTTAACTTTAAATCCAGCTGATATTCACAGTCCCGTGGCATTATATTTTGCGGGAGTCAAGTTGGATTTAGATAATATTCAATTAGCGCAACTGATGACTACTTACAAAAGAGCCGAAATTATAGCTTCTCATCCTGTTGCTACCGCAAAATTTTTTCATTTATTAATTTCAAATATCTTAAATACTATGATTAGTGGTGGTGTTCTTGGACCAATAAAAGCTTATTTTGGTACTATTGAAAGTCAAGGACGAGGTTCGCTTCATTTGCATCTTCTTATTTGGCTTGACCATGAAATGAAACCAGTTGATATGAAAGAGAAGATTCAAAATGCTGATTTTCGTGAAAAGTTAAAGGCATATTTAGAAGATATTATCAAAGAAGATTTGGATGAATTCAAAGACAAACATGTCTTTGAGAATTTAGACGGTATGGAACGTTTTGCTTTTAT